GGGAAACACTAATGTATTAGCTTTGAGACTTCATCTTAACCCTGAGCTTCTGTTTTCAACTGTTTTCACTGTCTGGTCCCATGTGCTTAAGCTACTAGTCCGAAGAGCAGTGTTCACAAGCCCATGGGTGGGATACTAAGAAGACCAGCCTGTCACTTTACATGACTCTCCTCCTCTGCTGTGTGATATCTTTCCCCATGGGGAGCCATTTCCACTTGGTCTTTAATTTTGCTCTTCATCAGGGTGACTTGTCAGCCAAGGCTACTTTCTGTCACTTGCTGCTACATCTCTTCCTAGTTCTGTCAGTCTGTCAGTCAGGGATGTTCATTTAGATGAGAGTGTGATTGGAGCAGAGAACACTGCAGCAGTTACTCATTTGCCTTAGGAGGACTTGCTGCCTCCATTCAATGGCATACTTGCCCAAGGCAGCAGCACACTTATGTGTAAGGGTTCATTGTAAAGGTGACTGTGCTCCTGGAAGTCTGGAATCTCCAAAGAGACATCTGCATCCTGTTAGGAGCAAAGCTCCTGTGTTTTGAAAGACCAGGAGGCAGACAGGAGATAGGGAGAACCTTGGAGTTTTTGAATTTACAGAAAGAAAACTACCTCCAAGACATGCTGTTTTATTACTGCCTGCATTGAAGTGATATGATCAGGACTTCCACGCCTATACATTATAAATTCCTGTCGCATGCTTTCTGTTTTGTGTCACTGCTAGCCCCTAATCATGCACATAGCTTTTGATTCCTTTACTATAAAAACCCCATGATTATTTCATTCGGGGTGTTTCTTGCTTATGGCAATAGGTTGCCCCTTGGACTAGACATTAAAATCATCTCACTCGCCTTGGAGTTTCACTCGGATTCATTGAACCTCAACACTTATGTATGACTCTGGTTATGCTTCTGTGCAGGTTGAACAGGGAAGGTGAGAATACCAGGAGTGGGACAATAAGATGTGCGCAATCGAGCCACAAGAACTGTGCACTCCTGTCCCTTTCCTCTTGATAGAAGAGCCTTTGAGAACTCCAGGGTCTGAAAATTCACATCAGAACCTCCAGGCTGCTGGGGATCAATATGCAGTTGTTTCTTCCTATTTTTATTTATTTTTTCGTGCTGGCAATTTAGAACATGTTCCAATATGATAGTATCCCATTTGATCTTAACAACAGCCATGGAAAATTTTTGTAGAATAGATGTTGAGACTCCAATCTTTGCACATGAACTCATGAAGTTTACCAAGGTTCAGTCTCCATTTATCTTAGTGGAAGCTGTACAAATAGACATGCAAGTTCAGTCACTGGATAGATTGAGAATTCACTTTGAAAGCTTTTGGAGAAAAGTCTGTCTGTCTGCAGTTTCTGGCCCTGGATTTTCCATTCTGTCTTATAGGAAGCCCACATTCTGGTTATTTACCTTCTGTTATAGGCTTCAGCTATTTTCACCTTCTCACCTAGAAGTTCTTTTTTTTTTTCCAAATCCTCAATCCTTTTAAAAGACTTTCTTCTTCTTCTTCTTTTTTTTTTCCTTTTATCCCTGGCCTCCTACAGAGATGCATGAGTTGTTTTTCCACTTCTTGTTCCGTAACCTAAGCCTTTATCTGTCTCTTGAAGATCAACTGTACTTAGTTGATCCCAATCAATAATTAACATTTACAAGGCACTCTCATCACAGGGTCACAGGCATTTTACGCAGGTGCATCAAAAGCCATTTTGGTTAAGACACAGAGATCTCACAAGCTGAGACACTCAGTTGGGGGTTAGAAAGGAGACATTGCCAGTTATTGAGCTTGTTTCTTTTCTAGCTTGCTCACTTGAGTGATTGCCTTAAGATTCCTTTGCAGGTGATTAATCCAGTAGAGCTAAAATGACAAATTCCGTTTTTAAGCTGGGCAGTTGAGCATGCCTGATTCTGCAGCTCATGGGAAAGACAAACCTCACAGGTGCTGGTATTGGGGCCTGTGCAATGGCAGGCCCCTGGACTTCGAAACCAATTGTCTGGGATTGCATTCTACTGTGCCACCAGCCAGCTGAGAGCCTGTGACTACTCTGTCCCCATAACTGCTCTCTGTGCCTATTGCTGCACCTATAAAATGAGGGACTGATTTCAGTTGTCTCCCATGGGTGTTGTCAGGAGGTAATGGGGATGGTGGATGTTAAGCACTCACTATGTTGCTGAGGAGTAGCTGCTCAATACATGTTAGCTTCATTCTCTTCAACGTTATTGACTGTGATAAGGTCCAATATCAAGGTTACATGTTAGTTGAGGCATTTTCAATACTTTGTCATGACTGTTTATCGCACTTGTAAAACTTATTAAAAGGCAAGTAATTCTGCTAGATTTCTGTGGTCACAGAGGAAACAAGGAAACCTGATCTGCAATTGAGTGTTATGAATTAAAGGATAGGTGCCAGAATAGTCCATCCAATTAACACACTTTCAGAGATAGAATGGGAGACTTAGAGCTCTGAAGGGTTGTTGTTTTCCTGAAACTAGAGGTGATAAGGCAACCTTCTGAGAGCCGTACAAAGGATGAAAACAAGCTTAACAGTTACAACAACTGCCCTCCACATAGCTGAGCCTGGCCCGTACGGTGTGCCAATTCTAAGTGTATTTCATGTATTGGATCATTTCAGCCTTACAAAGTAGTTTACTCTTCAAATTTTAAAGGAGGAAATAAGTTTAGAGAAATTACTTTTTTAAGGTCACTCAGCTTGCAGTTGCTGAATAGGAGGTTAGAACCTGAACTTGTATCCTGACTTAGTATTATAGAGGAAGCATTGCGAAATGGTTGATGTAGTCATTGCTCAGATGTTGGTCTCTTTCCGTGTCATTTATTTGCTTCTGCTTATTGTCGTTGCATGGATGTGAGTCTGCTCAGAGCTCAGAGTGCCAGAAACCCTCACAGTGTACTATGTCTACATTCAGTTCTAAGAAAAAAAATTTTCTGAAATGGTAACTTTGGGAAATAAGATTCATTTTAGATTTTATAATGGCTTATACCAGATTTAGAAAGTCCTAATAGATTTTTTTTTTAAAACTGGCATCTTCATCTCCCTGTCTTCTCTGTTTAGGATGCAGAACATGACAAAGAAGAAGTGGAAAGGTAGAGGCTGACAATTTTCCTTGCAAAAAAATAACATCTGGTACAATGTTATCTATAAAATTAGGCTCACAACTAAATTAAAGTACCCAATTGTCTGATAAAATTAGGTTTTCAGAATGTCTCATTCTGCCTCAATACAGAAGACATACAAGATGCAAAACAAAACAAAAGCTGCAGCCCTCCTTTCAACCAACTCTTAACAAAAATTCTTCAAATTAAAAAGCAAAATTATGTTATGAAACCAGCACAGCAGCCTAGTGGCTAAAGTCCTCACCTTGCATGCGCCAGGATCCCATATGGGCACTGCTTTGTATCCAAGCTGCACCACTTCCCCTCCACTGTCCCTGGCCTGGGAAAGCAGTCAAGGATGACCCAAAACCTTGGGACCCTGCACCCAGGTGGAGACCCGGAAGCAGTTCCTGGCTTCTTGCTTTCAATTGGCTCAGCTCTGGCCATTGTGGCCTTGGGTAGTGAACCAGTAGATGGAAGATCTTTCTGTCTCTCCTTCTCTTTATAAATCTGACTTTCCAATAAAGATAAATAGTAAGTCAAATCTTTATAAAAGATTATCTTATTTGAATGGCTGAGATATAGAAGTAGAGTTCTGCTATCTGCAGATACACTCCGCAGATGTTCACACAGCCAGTATTGGGCTAGGGTAAAGGGAGAGTTAGAAACTCAATCCAGGTGCTTGAATGAAGATACCAAGAATTCAACTACACAAGACATCCGCTATTCAAGGGACCATGAGTGGGTGTTGCTGTCCAGCACAGAACCAATAATCACACACGGACTGCTGACAGATGGTCAATATCCAAAGTTAATTTATAGCAAAAGACTTAAAGACTGAGGCTTAAGGAATGAGGATCTGAACAAGGATGAGTTTACAAAGTGCACTACAAGAAGTCCCTCCCTTTGATCTGTTATCAAAGCTTACAGAGTCCCTGTACCCATATTTGTCCAAGTTCCATCTGTTTCAGGATCTTTGTCTCAGAGCCTTCTCACTGATTATAGCTGGCTATGGTTTTGCACTGGCAAGGTTTCCTATCCTTCTATAAGTTCCTGTCTTCTTACAAGTAGACAGGTGAAATTGGGGAATGGAACCAGGACTGAAACCCAATATGGCTTTCCAGGCTCCCAGATAGTACTTAAGCCACTAAACTATATGCCCATCCTAATTGTTTTAAAGTAATCTATCCATGTGATTAAAAACCTATGCATATACGTATTTTTCTTGCCTTGAATATTGATCCCACAAGTCTACCAGAGGTCAATTCTGTAGTTATTTTTCCTTCTGAAGATGCTTTGTGCATAAAAGAGAATATATGCATGTAACAAATCATATCCACCAAAATTCCAAAATTCCCTCCATACTTCCACAGTACACATTCTGTCTTCTTGCTGATTTCACTTAACAATAAGACCTGGAAAGATGTCAGGTGAATCTCAGAAGAAATGTAGTATTTTTGAGGGCTATATTGCATTCCATTTTAAAGCTATATCAGCTGTCATTGATGGTCTTTAGGCTATTTCTATTCTTTTAGTAATGAAGCCCAGTAAAAATCTTTATCTATAATAATAATATGGATCCATTCAACTCAGTACTGCTAGACTTTTTTGCCTGTAAGTTCATATTATATAATACAAGCCATTGCCCTGAAGGAGAGAGAGAAAAGGAACCTAACGTGAACTCTGAGGATTTTTTAAGAGCTTGTGTGCACCCGACACATCTCCTCAGCTGCTTTTGATGAGTGTCTCATGCTTCTCATATGTTGCTTCAAATTATTATGTCCTGAAGCTTCTTCTTTGGACCTTCATTCTGGATGTCCAGGGAGTGATGGATGAATACTTTTTGCAAGATTGATTCACATGGTACTTATGTTTGGCTTTTGACAGGTTGTGTATAAGAATAATGACATCCGTCTGGAGCTGTCTCGCTTGGCCCGGATTGGAGATACCAAGATGAAAATCTATGGTGAAGTGGTGTTCAAATGTGAGAATGTGGCCACACTGGACCCCATCAACTTTGAGACCCCAGAGGCTTACATCAGCTTACCCAAGTGGAACACCAAGCGTATGGGCTCCATCTCCTTTGATTTCCGCACCACTGAACCAAATGGCCTGATCCTCTTCACTCACGGAAAGCCCCAGGAGAGAAAGGATGCTCGGAGCCAAAAGAACACTAAAGTCGACTTCTTTGCCGTGGAACTTCTTGATGGCAACCTGTATTTGCTGCTTGATATGGGTTCAGGTACCATCAAGGTGAAAGCCACACAGAAGAAAGCCAATGACGGGGAATGGTACCATGTGGACATTCAGCGAGATGGCAGATCAGGTAGGAAGAAGCGTGTATGTGTGTGTGTGTGTGTGTGAGAGAGAGAGAGACAGAGAGAGACAGAGACAGAGAGAGAGAGAGAGGAAACCTGAGAGAGAGACTCTGACTTGTCATTGTCAGTGCTCCCTGGATGGGTATGTTTTAATTTTCACACTGGCATGCTTGCTATTTGAATATTCCATTTAGTGTTTGTTCTAAGTGTTTGTGTCTGAACAAGACTCCTGTCTCAGGGATGGCACATGTTCTGTTCATCTTCCCTGCCACTCCTTGCACAGTGGCTTCAGCAATAGCTCTAAGGAGCCAAGGAGGGTTTTATGAATGGTATTTTCCCTGCTGCCAGGGAAACTGTCACATCATTGGTGTGATGTTTTCCCCTCATTTTTCTTGTTTCCCTTGCCTCTTCTCATCATTATAGAAACCAGTTGTTGCATCACAGGTGCTCTGATTATAGTGTAGGATCAGTTTTACCATTCATGAGTTTATGCCACAAGACATTGTCCAATAATTGGCAAGGGTCATGCTGCAGGGAGAAATTAGAACAGGAAAAGGCATATTGATTTTTCCGGGTCATGTTTCATTCTAAAACCTTGTTTAATGTGAATGTCTGTATTTTAGTCTCCATTCCTCTTTATAACCTTTCATATTTGGTTTAAATGGCTTTGTTTATTTCTGAAGCCACAGATCAAACAAGCTAGCCTGAGGCAGTACATAGCCACTCTGGAATAGTAACAAAGAGAAGGAGAAACACAGATTGAGTTTGGGGCCTTCCTATTCTGCCCCTCAAGTTGCAGCTGTCTTACGTGAGGGAACTGAGACTCCAGACAAGAAGCCAAGTCTGACAAGTGGATGGCAACTTGGTAGCAGTAACGCCCTGCAAGAATAATAGAGGCATATTTTAAAAAGTTCTGGCAGGATGTTTAGGTATCTCCTACTCCAGACCTTTGAGTTTTGAGGTTCAGGGAAAATTGAGTTGTAAACCGGTTCAGAGACTGGCCTAGGCCAGGAAGACTTTAACATCAGAATCCTTCCTCCTAAGTTCCCAAGTCAGGCACTCAGTCACAATTCAAGAATCTCATTTGATGGTGTTCACTGCCCAACCCTTCCCCAGAGCTGCCCTTGTCCCCGACTTGCTGCTGCTCCCTCTGCTGTAGCCACACTCCCTCGTATTTGGGAACTTTGAAGGTGCCACTCTCTGTGCTTGCCTGGTCTTTCCCCTGCACTCGGCATCGCTGCCTCCTCTAACCCCTGCTTCGGTTTCAGCGAGAGCAACTTTCCGTGACACTATTAAAGTGTAACCCGAGGGCTTCTGCCACACTGTCTTCAAAGCACTCTGTTCATTAGACATCCTCCCCCCGCCCCGGGTTTTTTTTTTTTTTGAGGGAGGAGAGTTATTTGTTTATTATTTTCTGTCCCTCTCCCCTGGTACATCAGCTCAGAGAGGAGGGTTGTGGAGTTAATTTCTGCATCTGGAGCAATCTCTCAGGGAGTAGCAGTCAATGCATGCTTGTTCAGTGCAAGAAATAGTCAAGGGACAATTTATTCAAAGTACTGCCAGGTGGGCACTTAGCAGGGTGGGATTGATGCCACTTGAGAGTCCACATGCCAACCCAGAGAGTTCCACTTTGGATCTCAGCTCTGCTTTCCGTTTCAACCCCCTGCTAATGTGCACCATTGGTGTAGCGGGGGATGGCTCAAGAACTTGGGAGATCTGGACCTTGTGCCATGTTCCTGACCCCTGCCTAGCCCTGCTCCAACTGTGCTGTTCATTTGGAGAGTGAATCCTCGGATGGAGTAGCTCTGTCTGCCTGTATCTCTCACGTTCATTCTGGTGTGGTGCTCCCGCTTTCAGATAAAGTGAAAAGGAATACAATTTTAAAAAGAAATGTCAAGATACTTGCTGACAAGGCTCATAGTTAGTGCCCAATATAGAGGGTTTCAATGCAGGGCAGGAAAAAGCTGAGCGGGAACTTCCATCTTTGGAGGCTGAATAACCCAGGCAAATGTTTCCAGAGCTCATGTTCTCTCTCCGCCCTTTTGGAAACACCTGACGTCTATTACATCGTATAACCAACACACCAGGCTTCGAGTTCAATCAGTTCTCTAAAGCTAACAGTCTTTGTGGTACTGCTGGGAGACAAGCACAAACGGGACTGTTAGAGAAATGATAAACTGGGAGGGGGTGGACCTCTGGGATTTTCCCGAGTCCTGTTGGAGGTTAGATTGGTTTAGCTGACAGAGACTGGAGTCAAACAGCCCACAAGGTCCCTTCCACCATCCTGCAGCATTTCATTGCCCTGCTTACATCGTTCTACCCTGACTAGGTAATTCTGCTTTAAGAACGCACCTGTTGGGCTCTCTTCATTGAGTTGATCAGTCTCACCTGAGGTGCTGAGTCTTCAGCTCATTCTATGCTCCTCCCCCTACCCAGGTACTATATCCGTGAACAGCAGGCGCACTCCGTTTACCGCCAGTGGGGAGAGTGAGATCCTGGACCTAGAAGGAGACATGTACTTAGGCGGTCTGCCCGAGAACCGAGCTGGCCTCATCCTCCCCACCGAACTCTGGACCGCCATGCTCAACTATGGCTACGTGGGCTGTATCCGTGACCTCTTCATCGATGGGCGCAGCAAGAATATCCGGCAACTGGCAGAAATGCAGAATGCTGCGGGCGTGAAGTCTTCCTGTTCCCGGGTGAGCGCCAAGCAGTGTGACAGCTACCCCTGCAAGAACAATGCGGTGTGCAAGGACGGCTGGAACCGCTTCATCTGTGACTGCACTGGCACCGGCTACTGGGGAAGAACCTGCGAAAGGGGTAAGCCATGGAGGGTAGCATGCTGGGTTCTGAGTGGAGGTGAGATACTACAAGGATATTTCTGGACAGCCCCGGCTGTTATGTGGGCTTGCTTTCTTCTGAATAAGGATTCTTGACCTCACCCATGTCTAGAGAGTATCTCTTCTGGTTTAAAATTCTTGGATATATTTGCCTAGGATTGACCTGCTTTACGTAAAGGAAGCTTTAACAGTAAATATTTACCGTGGTTACAGTTCATTTTATTTATTGGTTTGTTTCTATTTAGATAGAGCAATAACCTACATTGTGTTTTCCCAGAGGGCTAGCCCGGTGGCTGTTTTCATTTATTCATTTAATACAGGACTTTTGAGTGGTTTCTATGTGGCTGGCTCTTAGGTCAGGGGTCAGGAAGACAGTGCTTAACAACACAGAGCTATCACTGCATTTGTGGAGCGGGCTAAGGGAGATGTTAAACTATTAAATTACAAAATGAGAACAGGGTGAATTTTTAAAAGATTTATTTTTATTGGAAAGGCACATATACAGAGAGGAGGAGAGAAGGAGAGGAAGATATTCCATCCGTTGATTCACTCCCCAAGCGGCCGCAACGGCCAGAGCTAGGCTGATTCGAAGCCAGAAGGCTGGAGCCTCTTTCAGGTCTCCCACACAGGTGCAGGGTCACAAGGCTTTGAGCCATCTTCGACTGCTTTTCCAGACCGCAAGCAGGGAGCTGGATGGGAAGCAGGCAGCCAGGATTAGAACCAGTGCCCATATGAGATCCCAGCATGTGTAAGGCAAGGACTTTAGCCACTAGGGTATTGCACTGGGGCCTAATAGTATGAATTTTGCAAAAGGCAGTATGATGCGTTGTTGAAGATCATGAATTTCTGGAGGAGACTAAATGAAAAAGCTGACCTTCGTTAAGGTACTCAATTTGGTTGAGACTTGATTTTCTCATTTGGGATATTGAGAAAATCAGGTATCTGCCTCACCAGGTGTCAGTGATTAAGTGAGCTGATAGATTCCTGCAATAGGGTAAGTGTTTAACATGTGTTAGTGATTGTTAGAGTGGTAACAATTTTCAGCAACATCATTAAGGGGAAGGTATAGAGATATTTGCCAGACCCTTATACATGAACTCAACATACTGGAAGATTCTGAGAAAGCTACTGCAAAAAGGAATCCTATGATTTCAGACTTGAGATATGAGACATTAGCTTTGCAAAGAACTATAAAAAAGTGCTACCCTAGACAGAAAGGGCAGCAGTACCAAGGAACAATGGTGAGACCATGGCCGAGTTGACAAATTGACCGAAGTACAGAATGGGCTGGAGGTTTTGCTTCTTGCTGAACCATAAAGGACTGGGGAGGAAGAAGAATGTAACAGGTGGCTGGAAGAGTGAAGGCTGACATTTCAGAGCAGGCCAGGGTGCTGGGTGGCAAGAGTACAAGTGCTAGCTTGCTTAGCACTTGTTACGAGTTAGCTTAGGCAAAAGGAAAGATCAAGGTTAACGAAGGGGCAACTCCACAGCGAGGCTATTGCAGCCTGTAAGGTAGACTTGTACTGTTTCCTATCGTTTAACACACAGTTACAGAATCAAGCTAGCTGTGAGCTGTTAGTCTCACTCATATGTCAGGGAAATTTCCATAAGTTAGGTTTTTGCAGAGGGGTGTTTCCTCAAGGCTCAAGGATTCTGCATCTCTAGTAGACATGGTTCCTGTCCTAAGAAGCTTATCGCTATTTAGAAGAGCTGTTGAGACATTTACACAAGAAGCTGTCACAAAAAATAACACAAGGCAGTGATGTGGTCTCCATTGGTGGCGCAGAGTAGCGGGAGATTAAGAGGGGGAAGGAGAAGCCACTGGAATCTTGTCCCAATGGCCAGAAAGTATCCAAGTATCAGAAATATTAGGGTGGGAAGAGCTCCTGGACCAGCCACAGAACAGGGACCTGATGACACTAGCAGGGTGTTTGCAATGCGTGTGGGTTTCTGCTTGTTTTGTTTTTTAGAATAACTTTGTTACTAGTTAAGGTATATTTCAAGAGAACTGCAAAACTCTATTACAGTCAAACCAGACACAGGATACTGGGTGATCTAGAGTAGGTGCTTCGTTGGATCCTAATGAATTTAAATCGACTTACTGAATTTTCAAGGCAGCAACAATCAGAATATGAGCTATGATGAGGCAGCCACATGGAACAGAGATAGGCCACATGGGGCTCGTCAGTGTGTCAGTTGTTTGGACTCCTTACAAATAACTTCATTGGGTAATCTACCCTGGTGCTTGTTTGTGCAAATGGAAAGATTATTTGACCTCAGATCTATGAAGCATTTTTTCGTGACCCAAGGTGTTAAAAATCTTCCTCTATCTATGCAGGAAATACTAAAAACAAAAGTCACTTCATACGTATCAGATCTTCCAAGGTCACTGACTTTGTGGTTGTTTGGTACACGGAGTACTGACTATGAACAACTCTGCAAGGTGTCTCTGAACTCACTTCTTCCAAGGGCAAATCAATGGGAGTTAATCCAAAATCTGCCAAGTACAACCAAAGTCACTGCACCTTTCACATTGTCACTCCTGACTGGTCATTAAAAGGCAGCTGATTGGGGATATATGAGGGACAATTATTCCTGGTACAGTGCAGTCAAGAGTCAGTCATCTATTCTGGCCAAATGAGAAGGAGCTTAGCAAATTGAAGACATTTGATCTATACATTGCTCAAATCCCAGAAGGTTCAAGTGATTGTTTTGTTCTCTTACTAATAGTTTTTCGCCCCTGCATTGTTCCTGACGCCATGTTCAGAATGCATCGGTGGAGTGTGAAAATCAAAGGATCTATTTGCTAGGAAAGAAAATAGAGCTTACCAGTGGCATTGTTGTTTTATTACTGAAACTGGTTTCTTTGTGGGATATCTTCATTTTTCATGGATGGAACATGTATTTATGGAGGATTTAGTATGTTTTAGGCACTGTGCTTGGTGCTGGATATACAAAGAAAGCAGACATAACCCTTTCTTTTGATCAAGGGTTGTATAGCCGTTCCTAGGACACAAAGAACAACTGGAGATAATTAAGGTGTGATAGATGTTGTGGCAGATGTCTGTAGTGAGACAAAAGGATGAGCGGATAAGAATGTTCGTTTCTTAGCAGGGGAGTAATAGCAAGAGGCTCCCATGTTTCTTAGATTTTCTTGAGCCTCTATTACGAACAAAACTGCCTATTCCTTTACTGTAGGCATGTCTAAGAAAGACGAACTGTTTTGCATCTTCTGCGTAAGGAATAGGATCCCTTTTGTACTGAAGAAGCCTACCCCTCTCACCACAACAATGTCAGCTAGATCATACCATCTCATTGCTAAACTGTTATAGAAATATTAACTTGATGTGTTAAGTTCATCATTTTTGTCAAATATAATAGGCCTGAGACAGTCCTGAAGGTTGAATGCCCCATGTATTCCAAACTATACTGCCCTAGGGCTTCAAAATGAATGGGTACATTGGTATTACCACAACAGGAATGAAAATGTTAGAATAAGGCACTTGTGTATGTGTGTATATATATGTATATAGAAACACAACTGATATTAAAAACTGACATGCAGAGGTCAGACGGGAGATCAAAACAGCCCAAGGTTCCAAGTGAAATGAGCAGAAACAGTAGTGAAAGGGACAACTCCAGCAATAGGGGCATCGGCAAGGGTGGCGACTTTCCGGGGATTCTCTAAAGCTTTAAGCCTCTTCAGTTGGAGAACAAATGACACCTGTAAAGAATTGCATATATATTAAGTAATGTTTGGGAAATAGCAAGAATTAGCAGGGGAAAATTGCACAGTGCTCAAACTACAACGATGATGTATTTGCTATTGTCTTACTGTGTCCCAGTCATACTTGGAAACACAGTTTCAATCACGCTATGGGAAGGGGCATGTTCCACTTTTTTTTTTTGGTAAATTTATTTATATCAAGTGAATCAATTTTATGTATTTCATGATGTAGATTTAGAAGCATAGTGATATTTTCCTCTGCCCTCCCTCCTGTCCACATTCCTTAACCTTCTCCTCTTTCCTCCTTTGTTTTTTGAAATTTTCACAATGGCATACTTTCATTTCACTTCTCTATCATGGGCTTAACATTCCATTAGGTAATAATTCCAACACATAGAAAATAGGAAAAAAAAAAACCCTATTCAAGAGTATACACAAAGGGTATAAACAATAAATCTCAAAATGTCAGTCTAGCTCATACAGATTTTTTTCTGCAATCTGTGTATTACCACAGATCAAGGAAAACACAGTATTAGTTGGACTTGTTTCACCTGCTTTTTCTATTGAACACTATATTGCAATCTGCAGTTTTCCTTCTGTGAATGTGGGAGTGTGTTTAAAATGTAACTGAACCATATCTTTAGCATTTCAAGTCATGAGTGCCCTGACTCTTAAGGCCAGATTTTGTAACAGATGCTCAGCCATGTGAAGCCATTTCATATTTTTCCATCCCATCCATTTTTACTTGGTCGATCATGCTGTTGCCGTAAGAAAATGTCTGTTGGGTCATGATCGTGGAAACTGAATGCTTTGGGGGATATTAATTTGCAAGAATCAAGAAAACACGATGGAAAAGACAAATCTGTTCCTCTTAGAGGCCCCCAGGATGCCATTTGTCTGACTGACCCACCTGCTGAAGCAGAGGATGCACATACCTGGAGTTCACTCTAGATATTTCTTTCTAACAGGAGAGAGAGTAGACAGCAGCCAGTTCCCCTTCATGCTCAGGAACTCCCCATTGAAAGCCTCCCTTGTTGCTAATTGTGTGCCCCAAAGACAAAAGCAGTCTCTGCTTAGAAAAGGTGAAAATACCACTTCTGCAAAAGGTTGGAGTATGCTGTTTGGTGTCACATGGAAGTCATGCTTTCATTAGAATGGCTAGGTTTGGGTTCCAGCACTGCTCTCAACTTTAGCTCCTTGCTAATGCATGTCCTAGGAGACCTAACGTGATGACTCAAGTAATTAGGTTCTCA